TAGGTAGCATGGTATGACATGATGCAGTTAGAAGGGATCCTGCTGTTGAGGGTTCGGGACGCTTATTGTCATGGGAAAAAGAAGGGGCCATCCCGGACAACAGGAGAAGACAGTAGAAGTCAAGGCAACATCACCGGCATGCGACCCACCAGACTCCAGAGCCCATCGAAAAGTTGGCGACCTCGCGATAACTATTAATAGCGACCTCGAAGACCACCGCGAAGGTTGCAAAAACGGAGAAGAGTTTGCAGCACTTGGAAGTGATGCTTGACTCTGCAGAGGAAAGTGCTAACATATTTATAAACCATTTTACTATCCTGGGAAGAGTTTCAAATGTCAGGAAGACCCTTTCCAAAATCTACAAGTTGCGTGTTTGGAAAGGAAACAGACAGTAACGACTTTATTTCTCAAATTTAAATGCTTACGTAACTTGCCTTTGAAAATCGATATGTATAGACCTCAAAGTAGCCGACTAACTAACCGGATTTCAAGGGTGGCAAAACACTCACTTTGTAACCAATTGAAAGTTCCCTTGCTACCAAACGGCCTCCGAGCAGGCTTTGAGCCTGCTAGTACGCTAGAGCCAAAACAGACCCCTCCATGAGCTGCATCGTGCGAATTCTGGGAAAAATCCTAATCCACAAGTGCCGTTTGCAAGAAGCCTTTCAGTTCTAAGGGATTTGTTCTGCTATCCTACACGTCAGTTGCAAATTACTTCCTTTACTTCGCAAAATAGCATTTCATGTTAACTGGGGTTGGACTTATCGTCGTAACGCTGGCACTGCACATTTCTGGCCCTAGGTAATATACAGGAAATGAAAACATCAGTATGCTGGTGCTTTACAACAAATTAACATTTCAGCCTTGCATATGCATGCCCACCTGGCTTGCCTACTATCTTTGATGACAATAGGCAACTTTATTCGTTTGCTATTAAAGATCACGGCATTCTGCTGATCACGGCAGAAAAATGACCTCAGTACCAAAGACCTTCCACCGGCACTGGTCAATTAGGGTTTTTCCTAGAAATTGCACAATGCAGCTGATGCCGGGGGCCGTATCATCGCTAGAGTCTTGGTGGTAGAGAGTTCAGGGACGGCACAGGGAATTTTTGTCAATTTTCATACAGTTGCCTGTAAAGCAGGTAAAATAGAATCAAACTTATCTGAACTGATTACAGTCGGTAATGCTCCTCAGAATATGTAACTTAATAACATGCCATTCATGTAGTTTTATCACTACTGCGTCAAGGACTCCACTACCTGGGTTACACTGCAAGGACGGTCTTTGATGTTACCTTTCTCGGGCGATTTCCGAGTGTGTCTTGAGTAGGAGGCCGATCCAAAGCGAATTTCTATAACTGGCGACCATCTGCATTGTTGACTTCTTGTCCAATTCTTATGATGGATACTGAAATTGTATGGTTTGTTCTCAAATCACATTGCCACAGGTATGCCTCCTATCACTCTACTATTGCGAGAATCTGGGTTCTCAACAATCTGTCCACTAGGGAATTTGCTGAACGGGTGCTGCGCAGTTTTGACAGTATAATTTGAAAGAAGGACAGCCAGGCTGATCATAATTATGTCGAAGGTATCCATGGAGATCCATTCATTTTGCTGACATAGACACTGTGTTTTCATGAGATAACGAGCTCGATGATTCAGCCGTTTTATCCATAACCCTGTGAGGTTGTCTACACAAGAACGCAACTGGCTGAGAAGGAAACAGCTTTGGGTACCAATTTACGTAAAGTTTTGGCTATTCAAAGTTAAGGCTTTTGATGCCTACCTACGTTTACAGATCGGCAAGTATTTGCAACTGTTTTAGTGTAAAATGTTTTAGGTTTCGAATGATGCAAGCCAGGACCTCCGCCGCAGTCTCAGTGAAGCGGACGCATCATCTTTAGTTTATAGTGAGACAGGCTTACGTAACTTCTCTTCACATACGAACTTCCACCAATTGCCTAACTCCGTAGGAGAGAAAATGTGAAGACACCCCCAGGCGGAGGTAGGCAGTGGCCGGAAAATCTGAATAGTCCATCTACCTGTGCCAAAAATGAAGTGACCCCCATAAGTGCCTCCTTAGCGGACAGCATGCTTGATACGCTAGACTAATACGTTTGCTAGATCAGGCCATGACAGGCATCACATGAAATACGCTCCCAAACAATTGCCGAATCTACGAGGCATTGGTTGCAGACATAGTTAGAGGCTAAGACAACTACCAGCCATGACCTTTTATGGCTTTTCTTTGAAAATATTTTATTCAAACCCTATTCGCTTCGGAGATCCTTCTGTAGTTATGCGGTCTGCTTGTTTTATCTGTCCTCTCTTGGTT